TTGCCACAAATGATGGGTGAGATGCAACTTACACGGCTCCTGAGACCATATGCAAAAGGAATTTTAACCAAAATAGTCATCCTGATTGGAAGTTTTGTATGTGCAAAGTGCGCTTCACTCAGTTTTTCCTGCCCTGCCCACTTTTAGCCTAACTGTGAAATTCTGGGAAACAGAAACTGAGGGGCAAACCCACAATCCAGGAATGGAAGTTATTGTAGATGGGGCAAATGCTTCGCATTTCTCTTCAGGAAAAGAAAAAAGGGGGTGCCTTGGTGGTTCAGTCTGTTGGGCATCCAACTCTTGATTTTTGGCTCAGATCATGATCTCGGGGTCCTGGGATCAAGCTCTTCATCTGGCTCTGCCCTCAGTAGGGAGTCTGCTTGAGAGTCTCCCTCTCTCTCTGCCCCTCCCCCCTCAAATAAATAAATAAATCTTTTTAAAAAGAAAAAGAAAAAAGGCAGAAAACAAAAGATGCTAAAAGCATAGCCCAAACCAAAGGTCAGCAAACAGAGAACTCTTGGTCCTTCCTTAGTATTTTCGGATTATAGGCTTGTCCCTGGGCTTTATTTCCTTTGCAGGCAGTTCACATGCTGCAGAGAATTCCTAGTTCACAGTTTGATTCATTTAATCCTCAATGGAATCACTTGGGGACCTATTCCAAAATATATATCCATTCCAATCTCAAGATTCTGATTACTTCTCACCCCAAATGTAGGAAATCAGTATTGCTTAAAGCCTTTTTTATAAAAGGGAATATGTTGAATCTCTTGGTTGTGCTGAAAGAAAGAAAATTAGGAGTACTGCTTTTAGGAGTTATACAAATTCTCTTTTGGTCTCCGTAGAAAATTTTTTTAAAAAAAGTATTAGGATGCTGGGTGATCAGTCAGTTAAGCTTCAGCTCAGGTCATGATCCCAGGGTCCTGGGATCGAGCCCCACGTCGTTGGGCTCCCTGCTCAGCAGGGAACCTGCTTCTCCATCTCCCTCTGCTTGCCACTCCCCCTGCTTGTGCGCTCGCTTTCTCTCTCTCTCTTTCTTTCTCGCTCTCGCTCACTCTCTCACTGTGTCAAATAAAATCTTTCTATAAAATAATAAAAATATTACCCAGACCCTTTCCTCCATGGACTTAAAATGCCCAGACAATAAAAACGGCCAGGTTGAGTTGTAGGAGTTAGAATGGGGAATCAAGAGCCACAAGAACACATGCAGTAAAAATGTTTCCTTCAACCAGAAAGTACCTGAACAGTCCACTATTACTACCTTCCTGGTGGATTCTTTTTAAGAATTAAGGTATTTTGATGCATCAAAGTGATGCATTTCCTAGTGAATGCATTCGCCTGGATTAGTTAATCTAACCTCACACCTGCCTTCAGCAGCAGGGGGTTCTGAGGGAGCAGAACAAAAGACATGTACATTTTGATCATCCGGAAGCATTGCACACACAGTGGCTTTGTGCGATGTGACAGGAAGGGGCTCTAAGCAAGGGAGAGCCTTCAGGAGGTACTGGGGGGAGAGGAGAGGACCGCCATCTTCGAAGAAGAGACAAACTGTGATTAGTGTATAATTGTTGAATAGGACCTGCCTGCCAAATAATGGGGTATTAATTGTACTTCATGATGTGATCTTCTATAAGGTAAAACATCAAAAAATTCTTTTAAATCTTTCATGATCTTCTTTGATATTGTACGAATATCATTTCCGAAATACTATATATGATTGCTTTTATAAACAAAAAGATCTAGTTGGTAAATAAAATTTTAACTTTAGTCTCCACAGAGGATTACCAATAGAAAAATGGAAGTGAGCAGAAGATATAAGAAATGGAAACACTGTGAAATGAGCACATCTCAAGCCACCTCTCAGGGCATTCCGGCTCCTCAGAGAACACTATTGTTGAATTAATCCATGAGTCACACAAAAGTAGGAAAGTTGAACTCTCCCACCCTGAGTTTCCTTAGAGCGCCTTCATGGTCACAGCTGATGTGGTCCAAGCCACCAAATCCTCCCTAGATGTTCAGCTTGAAACCATGATAAATAGCATGTCACCAGATCTGCATTCACTGCGAGGTAACTGCCTACCTCACCATGGCTGGTGTAATGGCAAGACCTTTAGAAGCGTCCATTGGAGCAATAATGTCATGTGTTGTCCTGATCAGTGTCTGAAATACTCTGCCTTGAAGACCTGCTTTATAAAATACATAGTATGAGCTATGATGTAGCTCAGAAGCAGTTTATTTTAAATGATGGCAAAGGAAAAGGATTAGTCCTTTAAATTATTTAAATTTATCTTCACCTATAATATGCCTCAGATGACGTGTTCTGCCGTAATAGGTAAAAACGGTCATAGGTTTCCCAAAGTGATAATCCCTTCCCACACATAGCAACACACATGTACCTTTTTCTTTCTCTTTAAAAATACTGTTAAAATGTTTATGGTTCTTCAGGATTACATGTTGAGCTGGGATAATAAATATGTATAAATATGCAGATGCTCTATCGAATCATTCCTTATGCCATTTGTATTTTCCAAGTTGTATAAGATAACCTTTGTGGCTTTCAGAAACATCTTCTCACACCCTAGGGGGCAAATTACCTCTATTTTCATTTCCTTTAGAGTTAGATCATTTTATAATTAAGAACTTATTGAAGCAGATTCTCCCCATGTGTAAGTTACTCCCTGGGGAGTAATTTATGCAAAGAATGCCTCTGACTTAATATCATAGAAGCCTAACAACTGTACAGTGGATACCTGGTATTTTTAGTCAATTTTGTAGTCATTATAAAGAATCCACTGTTTGAAAGGTTATCACTAAAAAAAAAAAAAAAGGTACAAATAATGTATAGTGTCATTCGAGTTTTTCAAATAAGATTTTTAATAAAGGAGTATTAACATGGTCTGTTATAATTCTTGTCCAATAGCATTAGAAATACCAGCTAACAGTAATTCTGATGCTGATAAAGACTGACATTTTGTAGCTCTTTACTATTTGCCAGGCTCTTCTACATAAAATATCTCATTTAATCCTCACAAATCTATGACATTTGTCAGCTAAACCTTATAAGCCAGAGAACAAAATAAGAATTTGATCTTGGCCATGGACCCAGTCATTAACAGATTAGAGACAGGAATCTAGGAAAACAGAATAGAATTAAATCTCACATTTTTTTCCCATATCACAAAACCGTGAAAACAAATACCAGTTCTTCTCATCTGAAACCTGAAGAAACAGAACCAATATAAATAGTTAAACTAATAACTGTTTTAGTTGACTTTGTCTCATCTCCTGATGTTTTTATCATTATCTCTTTAGCTGGTGCTATTGGAATAATATCAGAATTCAAAATTGTGTTCATATCGTATCCCTGAGGTAGGCGGAGAAAGGGTTACTGGACAAAGAATCAAGAAAATTGCCTAAATTCTAGTTGCCATCTCCCAAATCAACTCAAGGGCATCATTAACCATTTGGATCCTCAGTTTTCTCATATGAAAAATAGGGCCATAATGCTAATTTTTTGCTTACAAAGATGACTTGAACTTATTGTGAAATTCTTGATTTCAAAAAATTGAATATGCTCTCCTAAAGCTAAGTATTATCTTTTTTAAAAAATGTAAAACAATAAGAAAAAGAGGGTTATGTCTTACATTTATGTGTTTTGTATATTCCAGGGTGAGAAACTGTAGAAAAGCATCCAAATGGCAGATTGATGTACAAAGCATTTTGAGGCATATTTTGCATAATTATTTTAAATTGGGAACGGGAATAGCAGCTCTTCCTGGTGTGTACAATTTTAACAACACTTAGAATACTACCAGAGACATAGGAATTACTACATTCTAAATAAAGTTTATCTCATGGATTCATCCATAACCTCGATGCTGATGACTTAAAATCATCCTTCCAAAAGGTTCTATCTACAGGTGCCTACCCGTGCACACAGGCGAGCTGGAAATCCCATGCCCCACCATATTCCACAAAGCAGTTGCCTTACCAATAACCCCATTTGTGTCAAACCTGCTATGGAACCTAACCCTCAAGGGTGAAGCTAGAAGTCACCTTTTGTTCTCCATCGATTTCTACCTGTGTCCTTTCTTTCATTGATCCTGATTGAACTATCTTTCTGTTTGTTTCTTCCTCTCCATTTCTCCTGCCATGCATGTAATCCACACTTTCATCTCCTAACGCAAGGTTTGGAATAGCTTTTAATTGGTCTTCTGCTTATTTTTGGTTAGCTGGCTGAACCCACCTTTCTAAGGGACCCAAACCCCTTCTTCCATCATGTCTTCACCCTGTTCCCTTCCTTGGATCCTTATGGCCAGCAGTATCAGGTGAAAATTCCTCTGCCTAACTCTCAGGAGCTCCACAGTCCCATATCACTTCCCCTCCCCAACCACATGGCCCTCGTTTCCAGTGGAGCCCAGTTGTCTGTCCCAGCGCTCACAAGCCAGTGTCGTTCCAGACCGCTTCTATTCCATTCTGCTGGCAGAAATGCCCTTTGCCCTTCACATCAGCCTAACCTCATGGTACACAGTCTTCAAAATCAGCCCAAATGTCTTCATCTCCACGAAATTATTTTGTTTGTATTGAAGTCCTAGTAGCCACCTGTTTTTATCATTTTCCCTGGATTTCTCCATGTATTAATTTTGTTGTATTAGTGAAATTATTTGTGTCATAAATAGATCATATCTTGTGCCAACAACTTTTATTATTTTCATGGTCATGTGGAGTATGCTCAATAATATTGTCACCGTTGACGTTTTCACAGTGAACTAGGAGTTTAGAAAACTTCTCATACCTGGTTATATTTTTCAGTCTTAGAAAAACAAAGCAAACAGTGGTAGATAGCTGCCCTTTCACTCGCAAGAAACATCAGGAAGCCTTTCAAATAGTGGCAGGCAACCCCACCCCAGGGTCCTCAAACACGAAGGTCATGCCGGGAGAGGTGGGGAGGGAGACAGGAGAGCAAAAGGAAGAAGCTCAAAATGTCTCTTTTCCCCTTTCAGCACAAATTGAAGTGATACCATGCAAAATTTGTGGCGATAAGTCCTCCGGGATCCACTACGGAGTGATCACGTGTGAAGGCTGCAAGGTAGGAGACTTCAACACAGCACTGCCCACAGCATCGTGTTTGCCTCGGGCATCCGTATACCTCCCCGTGCACGTGGTGACATCTTTTTAAAGAGGGCCCGCTGAAGGATGCTTGTGCCTACTGCTGACATGTGGGAATTTCTGCTTGGTGTGTGGGTGGGTTGGTTTTCTGTTCTTTGGCCTTTCAGCTTTTTCGTGATTGCTTACCTGGTCAGCAGCTACTTAAAAATGGATTGGTATTTAAAAGCTTGAATTAGTCACATTTACAGAGAAAGAAATACAGCTTCTTGCTGTTTTAACAGTATTATCTTGAGTAAACTCAAGGGCATTGATTACTAGGTAAAACAGCTAAAGGTTAAAGATGGCAAGCCAATGGCCTAGATTTATTTATCTGCTTGAGGAAGAAGTCAGAGGTAACAGTTGCAATATGCATATGGCCATCCTTTATTCTCACATTCCAGAAAAATAAAAGTAGAAGCATGGAATGTCAGAAGTGTACCAGATAATCTCTAAATCAATTAAAAATTATCTGCCCCAACCTCATTTTTCAATGAGATAATGAGGTGTAAACAAGATCATATCACTTGGCCAATGTCACTGATCTCGTTAGTAAAAAAAAATACGGCCAAAAACACAAGATTTTTCATTCTCAATCCAGTGTTCCTCTCCAAGGAGAGGTTCAACCAACCCTACCAAAGACAAACGAGTTCCTATGAGGAAGTTGCTCTTAAAATATGAAGTTGAAAATAGCAGTTAACATAGACCTAATCTGAAATAAGAGAAACTTGAAAGTTCACAGTAAGTTTTTAAAATTCTTCCTTAGAAAGAAAAAAAAAAAAAAACAAGCAAGAGACTAAATACCACGGAGGAAATAAAAAACAATTCCACACCTAATTTCAAAGGGCAAAATGTCACAGAACAAACAAAATGCAGCTACACTCTGCGAGTGAAAAGTGATATGTTGGCAAAGTTAATGGTGAAAGCAATCATATTTTTGATCAAAGATGGAAGCAGAGTGAATCATCAATTTAAGATCAGTAGACTGGGGGCCCCTGGCTGGCTCAGTTGGTAGAGCACACGACTCTTGATCTCAGGGTTTTGAGTCCGAGCCCCACGTTGGGTAGAGAGATTACTTAAAAAAATAATTAAAAAATGTCTTTTAAATCAGTAGACTGAAGGAGATGTAGCACAATCATAAATTCTAAGAACCAACCTTAATCCTAACAGATTCAAATATATTTGAAATAAAACATACCATAACCATCAAATAGTGCTATGTAAAAAACAGGCAGTGTCTTCATAAGAGTCTCCAAAAAGTATGATTCCTGGAATTGAAACGGGAGCAAAGCAAAGAAAAAGAAATAAATGAAAATAAAGTGGGAAAAGGATGCAGAGAGGGAAGAATAACATGAATGTAACTAACCCATTGACAGCCTGCTTCAAAGGTGATTAGTGATAATCCATATTTGAACATCACGAGACATGCCTTGCATTCTGTTCCTCTGCAGACCTACAATTGAGAATCGCATGTTATCACACCTTAATGCAATTGTTTCCGATTCATCAGAAGAAACAATAAAGCAAAATTAGAAAAACAATTTTTTACTCTCCTTAGAGTAAGTTATTACTACCTCTGGGAGGTGGACAAATAGTTTTCTTCGTAAACGCTAATAATTTTAGAATCTGAACCCTCCAGGGAAAGCTTTTCCACCACTGGGTTGGTTTATTATGCAATTTTAAGGCCTCTGGTCTAGTTTACAAAGAATCCACCAAATACATTTTTTTAGACCAGTGTCAAAGTGTGGCTGTTTTGTGTTTCATTGTATAAGCTCTATTAAGAAAATGCCTGCTTTCAAAATATGAGCTTATGTTCATGTTAACAAGCAAAACATTTTAAACAGTAATTTCCAGAAGATTTAACTATGGAACACATATATTCCAACAGGTCAATAGTCAGAAACAAGTGTGTAGGTTCCTGTCATCTTTTCTATTTAAAGGAAGAAGACACAATCCTAGAAATGACACTGCTGTTCGGAAGCATACTCTGAAGTTGTAGCCAAAATGACATTGTACACGACACTACTTTTTTTTATTTCCTGGGAAAACCCACATGTGTAAATATGCTGCATTTTTCTCCAAATAGAAAACTCAAGAAACTCTGTTCAGAATAAGATGTCAGAATCCCCACGTTCAGTATCAACCTCTGAATTTTCATAATACAGTTCTTGAGTCAACATAAACAACCCATTTCAAATAACCTCAATTCAGCTTGTGCACTTATTCAAATTCCTCCTCATTCAATAAAATTTGAAACAGAATCTCTTTTTCATGCCAAAGACCTCATTTGCAATAATGAGCAACAGATAAGCAAGAAATGCCTCGTAATTAATGTCAAATTGCCTTAAATTAGGACTGTAGCTGTGACTTCAAAAGTCTTCTCTGTCAGCTCTTTTGCTAAGTGGCACTAGAGTATCCAAAGATAAAAACCACCAATTCTTTCTTAAAATGTAAATTCCAAATCCTCTTTTATCAAGACTGATGGGCTGAAGTTATGGCTTCTGACAGCTTTGATGGTACAGATCTTCCTTGACCTACATGGGGGTTATGTCCCTACAAACTCAGGGTGAGTTGAAAATATCTTAAGTCAAAAATGCATTTCATACACTTAACCTACCCAACATCATGGCTTAGCCTAGCCCACCTTACATGTGCCTGGAACACTAATACTAGCTTATAGTTGGGCAAAATCATCTAACACAAAGCCCATTTTATAATATAGTGTTGAATATCTTATGTAATTTATTGGATACTGTACTGAAAGTGAAAACCAGAATGGCTGGGAGTGCATGGGGTTGTTGACCCTCGTGATCACCAGTCTGACTGGGAGCTGGGGCTGCAGCCCTACCCAGCATCACAAGAGCGCACCAGACCGCCTCTCACTAGCCTGGGGAAAGATCCAAATTCAAAATTCAATGTATGGTTTCTACTGAATGCGTACTGCTTTCACACCATCTGTAAAGTCAAAAAATCATAAATCGCACCATTATATGTTGGGAACCATTTGTCCAGTTCGAATGAATTCATGGAGCTCTTTAAAATAGAGCTCACATCCAAGCTCCCAGGGATTGAAATGATGTATTCCCTATACAAATGGTTCCCAACATATTATCTAAGTAATACACATGGATCTGTGGGCACCAAACTACTCCTTGATTTGAATGGCTTGAGGCTTACAACACAAAACAGGCTGGCATTTTTTCTCTCTAAAAAGATACCAGGCTACACATCCATTTCTGAAGTTCTTCACAAGAGTGGCCAAGCTCTCTTCATGTGCCACACCATGCCATATGAGAGCCCCAAACTAAAGGAAAATCGATAATCTTGATCCTCTTTAAACTTTTCGGGGTGTTTTGCATTAATGTTGATTCTTAATATAATGTGTTAAAATATTACTTATCCTGATTAACAAGTTTTTTGACTATTCTTAAATTTTGTGGCCAAGATGGTTGCCTCACTAGCTGCAACCCTAGTCCCAACCCTGCTCTATCCTTCTGTTGATAATTGAGGAAACCCAGATTTCCCCTGTAGGGTTTTCTGTAAGATGACTAATCCATAACTCAGCTATGGATTTATTTAGGAGGGTAGTGTATGGTCCATGGCAGTTAAGTTTGTACCAGAAAAACCCAAACTTACTTGCATGAAAACCTCGTACATCTCCCTAGCCTGAAGCCAAGCAAAGAGCATGAGTTCAGCTTTTATTTATTGCTTATTTTTATTGAAGACTTTATATACCATATTTCCTTTTTTAACATGAGGTTAATTATAAGGCACATCTCTGGTTTAAAAAACAACCTTCCCAGGGCGCCTGGGTGGCTCAGTTGGTTAAGCGACTGCCTTCGGCTCAGTTCATGATCCTGGAGTCCCGCGATTGAGTCCCGCATCGGGCTTCCTGCTCGGCGGGGAGTCTGCTTCTCCCTCTCCCTCTCTCCGTTTGTGTTCCCTCTCTCGCTGTGTTTTTCTCTGTCAAATAAATAAATAAAATCTTTTAAAAAAATAAATAAATAAAAATAAATAAAAAACAACCTTCCCAGATGCATTCTGGCCAAATTTAAAATTTTTCAAATAGGTAAAAATGCATCTTAGAAACTAGGAAGATCGTGGTACATGCTGCGCCTGCCCTCAGTACGGCTATTATGACCAACATCCCAAGTTCCTCACCCCCACAGCACTTACCATAAGGTTGTGTTATCGTCCCCATCACGTTTTGTCCTACTTGGCTTGGCAGTGACACTGTCCTTTGCCATGCCTTCTTCACTCACTGCTCTTTGAGGGCAGGAGCTCTGTTCTGTTTTTCTTTGTATAGAACAACACAGGTCACAAATGTCTTTAGTAAACATTGATTAAATGAATGAATGAAAGATACCTTCAGCTCTCTGTCAATAGTACATATTTCCCCCCAGTAGAAACATCTGTAAGCTAACCAAGGAGAAGTGTCCAAAAAAAAAAAAATTTTTTTTTTAATTAAACTCCGTTCCAGTCACTGTAGAAAATGTAGCAAAGATGTAAGTTAATTATCTCCATTTTCTTTCTTATAAATCGATCTCCCTCCCATTCTCTTTTGGCTTCTAGGGCTTCTTCAGGAGGAGCCAGCAAAACAATGCCTCTTATTCCTGCCCAAGGCAGAGAAACTGTTTAATCGACAGAACCAACAGAAACCGTTGCCAACACTGCCGACTGCAAAAGTGTCTTGCCCTGGGAATGTCGAGAGATGGTGAGACACTGACTTCTTGTTTCTTACTTGAAGGCTTTCACATGGATGCTTTGCTGGAGTCTATTTAAACCACCAGAATGATTCTAGACAAAGGAAATTGGGGATACAAAGAAAAGAAAACGATGTGCTGGTAGTGCATGAAGAGGAAAAGTAAGAACGTATAAAAACATTGTATTGCCTCTGAAGTAGGAAGAAAGGAAAGACTTCACTATAACTCAGGGAGCAACCTGTGCTAACAAGGTTTGGTGAGAGCCACAGAGGCCTAGGTTGAAACTTATCTAGGTTTGCCCACGCATGAGCGGTTTCCTAGAATGTGAGATTTTCAGAGCTGAAACCAGGGAGAGTTTCAGGCAAACTGGGACCATTTGGTCACTGGGTAAGTCTGACAGGTACACAGGTTGCTTGGTATGTGGAGATGTTAAGGAACAGCATGCATTTCTGTAGGAAGCCCAGAAGTTCTACTACTGGGCATGGACTTTTGTGAAGCATCATGAAAATTGCAAAGGCTATAACAGAAGTCCAAGTCCTAAAAGGGCTGTGTGGGTGGTGTCCTTCTCATAATATGGCCCAAATGGGTGAGGTGGGTCCCCAACTGAATTTCTTAGATTAATGAAAGAGAACAAATAAACTCACACAAAGAATTTCATCTAGTGTTGCTTCCATTTTTAAGCACTCATCTCAACTAATTATTTCCCCACTGACTTTGGCTACAGCACTCCTGTATCAGGTTGTGAGCAACCCTGAGTCCTGGTGGCATTTCTGTCTTGTTCTCACTGTATCCTCAGGGTCTGGTTAAAAGCAGGCACCTATTTAGGTTTGTTGAATGAACCGTGGAATTCTCTTTTACCTGGAGCCTGAGACACAGACAGTACCCCTGGACTTTTTCTCTTTATGTGAATCATTGTGGACTCTCTACCTCTGGTCACACTCCGTCTAATGAAGTTCAAGGTAGTATGAATGAGAGGGAGGGAGGGAAGGAAGGAAGGAAGGAAGGAAGGAAGGAAGGAAGGAAGGAAGGAAGGCAGGCAGGCAGGCTGGCTTTCATACTTTAAAGAAATATGGGTAATTGGCATGCACCATCTCTTGGTATAAAGGGATTTTATGAGTTACTGTGAGCCTTTTACTCATTTGAATGAAATCAGTTCTCCATAAGTCTTGATATCTAAACATATAAACTGCTTACTTCTTAGCTTGCATTCTCAGAATACTTATATCATAAATTTTTGTTTACCTTTTTTCTACTTCCCAACACACCTAACTTTTCCTTGAGTAAAAGTATACCCAGGAGACAAATTTGACCAAAAACATTGAAAGAATCTGACTTTGAGCCCTTCAGTTTATAGATAGCTTCTAAAGTTGCAGAGATAGAAGTTTCCAAAACTTTTCTATTAACTAACTGACTTTTTGTTTGTTTTTCTAGACTTGCTAACTGTGTAGACTACTCCTAGGGTAAATCTATTGCACTGTGTACTCCCACATAACTAAAGTGAAGAAGGTGGAGGATGGGGATTTAGTGGTTTTAAGGATTTATTTGGTGAAATTGTATGGGAACTTGAGTTGATGATTTTATACCTCATTTTCACCATAGTGAGGCAGCATATTAATTGACAGTATATGAATTGGCAGGATATATTAATAATTGAGCAAAAAGAATAAGCCATTGGTTATTTGTATTTGTTACTTCTTCCTACAATAAAAGAAAGTATCTCTTTTGGAAGGGCAGGTCTTGGGAGTCCATGCTGGTGAACAGAATTATGCACAAGAAATAGGCAATGTTCTCAAAATCTAGGAGATTGTCTGAATCCCATGGCATAAAAGAAATTGTTGGGAGGAAGGGTTATTTAATGGACAGAGCCCCAGTCTACTCTCAAGGGGGAAGAAATTTACTGTACATAAACTTGCAGGTAACAGCAATACAATGTCTAGGGATCCTGGGGATGCAGGATAATGATCCATCTTAGATTTAGGTCCAGAGACAGTCCTGAGGCTTCCAGAGACATCTTCAAAAAGATGTCCTAAACATGTCTTATGTCAAACTAATAATGAGGAGAAATGCTCAGGGATGGGAGTAGTGGTTGGGAAGGAGGCTAAGAGGCTCCAGCAGAAGCAAAAGATGATTCTTTCTAAGGGAAAACGATTCTTCTTGACTACATTATGTAGAGGAAGTTTCGTCTAAACCTTCATCATAAAGGGTACCTTATAGCAAATAAATTATATCAATACCAAGGTATCTGACTAGGTTTAATCTTTTGATATGTAATGCCTTGTTTGTGGGTTGATGATTTCAAAAGCCCTAAAGTTATGGTTAATTATCTATGTCTAGTTAGGACTCAAGAATGAGAGGTGGTACTTTCCCTGCCACTAATTTATTATACTTAGCTTCTACTGATCAGGCAAGTATTTTCAAGTACCAGGAGCCAAGGTAAAATGCCCTCACACCTAACTTCTTTCCACATACACCTTGCCCATCTTCCTTCAGACAAAAAGTGGCATCTTCATTTTGCTATTTGCATTTGCTTTCTATCAATTATACGTGGCACCAAGAATGTTTATTTCACCTAACCTGGTCGCCAAAGCAACATGGCTTCTTGTAGATAGATACCTTGATATAACTGTTAAAATCACTGAACTTTCATTATTTCCTGAATTTCCACTTCTATCGTGGTTTATCAGTCAAGGCCCATATATGAGTAGACAAAAAACTCAATAACAAATTTGCCCACCAAATCTTCTCCACCATCTTTTTTTATTTTTCTTTTTAATGGACCCTTCACAAACGTTAGTTGCAGGATTCTTCAGGATAACTGTTTCCAACTATACTACTACAAACAGACAAAACCCAGAAAAAAAAAATGCTTGGTGTCAGTAGGAAGATTTGGGGCCCCAAAGAGAAAGCATGATACTCACCTTGCAATAACTGAGTGTGTGCCCTCCTAAATGACATGCATCTGTGAAAAAACAGGAGCTGCCCTACAAGGACAGGTTTAACAGATGAGGCTTCTACTTCTCCAGAATGGCATTGTCCAATATCCAGAATGGTATCCACATGTCCCTATTTAAATTTAAGTTTAAATTTAAATTGGATAAAATTAAATTTAATCTTTAATTACATTTAAAATTCACCTCTTCACTCACACTAGCTATATTTCAGCTAGTGTGTGTTTCAATAGCCACATGTGGCTTGAGGCGGCCATCTTGGAAAGCGTAGAGCACATTCGAGCATCACAGGAAGTTCTGCTGGGAAAGGAGAGGGATGAGAGAGAATAGTTTTAAATTATGGATAGGGTTGGGTAGGTTGAATCTGATCTTCTCTACAAAGCTTAGAGCACTCTAAAAAAAGGCACATCCTTGGAATTGAAAAGAGTTAAATTAAGACCGGTTTCCTTGGTAAGCAGCAAGATGTAAGAATAGAGAACTTTACAACCAAAAGATGGTAAGATAAAATAACTTCCAAAATGACTATGTTAGTTCTACAATTGGGTTCTCTTGAAGCCAAAAACCCATATCCAGATGTCATGGGTTGGTAAGTAGAAATCTTCAAAGAATCTGACTTTGTTTTGTAATTACTCCAAAAAGCTTCTGTTCCATTTAGAATCCCACAATCCAAATAAATATGAAAAGATTCCCAATATTTTGCATAAAATTGTTCCTTGCTAGTGTGGGATCAAGATGAGTGATAAGAGCATATCATAAGCAAATACCATCATCCCTGAATATTTATAAAGCACTTGTGATGTATACAGAATCATGCGAGTTTGAGAGCTAGCAGTTTAACAAGTGGCTGCCTCTATACTCAAGTGAACATCATCAACAGAATAATTCAAGTTTGAGAGGGGCAAACACTTAAAATATGTGCCATTCTGATTAATGAGTAGTGGTAAGAAGAATGCTAATACTTGAAAATATAATAGTAATATGGCTTTTGTTAGAAATAGGCCTATTAATACAACAAATTTTTTTTTACAAATGGTGACAAGGAATTATTTATATATATATAAAATGTCAAGAGGGCGCCAGAACTTAGCCTTTTAAGGAGAGTTTTCAGTAGATTTATTTGTTCCATGCACTGGAATCCTTTTCCCCAAATATGTCACTACTTTTGTTACAGGAAGGGGCACAAAACTGAAACACTGGCTCACCGAAGTTTCTGAAATGAGTGGAAAATTTATTCTAAAATAGTATTATAGTAATTGTCAGCAACGTTCTTGATTTAGGATGAAGACGGATAATTCCAAAATGTAGGAGAGCTTTAAGTTGTCTCTGAAACTATTTCAGTTTGTTCGTTGACCTGGTAAGTCAGTACCTTGGAAAGGGCATAACTATTTACCATTGGGTTTTCAGAAGTTTACCAGGGCAGAGGTCTTGACAGCATACTTATTTGACATCGTTTGCTTTGATTATGAGATCTATGGTTAAGAGCAGATTTCTGGACCTAAAATTATTTAATGTAGGGTCCTAACTGGGTTCACTCATTCATCAGCCGCTGGCTATAGGTCAGTCTGTGCCTCCACTGAAGGTGGAAAGCCTTGTCTGGAAAGATCGAGGTGGCTGGGGCTGGGCTTCACAAACCTTATCCTCTAGCAAGCTAGTTAAGGCATGTCCTTTTCCTGGTGAAATATTCAATCACACAAACACCTCTGAAGCCTCTGTTTGTGTCACATGTCTATCTCCCATTGGCCCCAAGCAGGTCACATGACCCTGAGACAAGGGTGGGGCAGGGGGTCTGCGGAGAATGAAAGGGCCTTGCGTATTGGGGGGGGGGTGCGGGGAATAGGTAAGAGGAATCAGGGTCATCAATGCAATCAATCCACCGCAATGTATATTTCACCTAAATATAGAGTGTATGGAAATTGGAAGCAAGGTTTAAATGGAAACGGTTTTAAAAAGAGACATTGCATTTATGTCTTCGTGAGAGAGGAGTTTCAGAACCCCAGTTGTTTTTTCTTTATAGATTTTAAACAAACAAATGCAAAACTATTCTACTAAAGTAACTCAGAAAGTAGATCTACTCCATGGGGTGCCTGGGTGGCTGTCAGTTAAGCATCTGCTTGGGGCTCAGGTCATGATCTTGGGGTCCTGGGATCAAGCCCCACATGGGGCTCCCTGCCCAGGGGGAAGCCTGCTTCTTCCTCTCCCTCCACCTCTCCACCCTGCTCATGCTCGCTCTCTGTCTCCCTCCCTCCCTCCCTCCCTCTCTCTCAAATTAAAAAAAAAAAAAAGAAAGTAGATCTACTCCAGCCAAAATAAAATTTTGATCTACAATAGATAGAAATTTTATATCCACCTGCATAGCTCTGTAATAAATGGCTGTACTGAACCTACATGAATGCAAAGAACAGGTTAGCAAATAAAGAAGGGTGTCAGTTAATTTCTTGGGGGGGAAAACGTTCTTCTTTCTGAATCAAAAGTTATCATGGTTTATTTTTTCTTATACAAAAAGTTTTTTCCCGAAGGAATTTATATGTATATAAAACATATAAATTTACATATTTATAAATTTATTTATGAAATTATTATAATGTTATATATGTTATTTGTAAAGATATAATATAAAGGTACAAAGAATGCTTTCCCTAAAATTTTCTTTAGAATATGGTCCATGGACAAACTGGAAATATCATAGCACATAAATGTGTGTCTGAGAAACAGAATCTAACAAAGACCGTTTCTCTACCAACAAAGTTAAACACAATGATCTAAATGATTCCAGACTCTCTAAAAATGACAGTTGAGGTGGTAAGGGGAGTTTGGTGTGAATTAAACATATGAATTGTCTTCAGTCAGAAAACTTACTATATAATCACCCCTTTGTTTTTCTATTTAGGCAGCACCAGAACTTAGTCTTTTCAGGAGGATTAAGGAGAAACAGGAAGTTTGGGCTGCTCTAAATCCAGCCTTCATAGCCACAACCTTCCAGCAGGCAGGCAGGAGGAAGACACATGTCCCCACGCTCAGAAGTATAAGTGGCACTTCCATTTACTTCCTGCCACCCAGAACTTAGTCACATAGCTGCACCTGCCAGTGAGGGAGGCTGGGAAATGTGGTCTCCATTCTGAACAGCCGATGCTTAGATAGAATTTGGTAGCTCTGTAACCCCCAGAAGGAGATAATGAACATTGATGGAACCTGGCAGGGGACAGGGGTGTTGGGAAATGGTAGCTCTTTCACAGTAGGCAGTCTCCTCTGAGGACTCTCTGTGCTGGAGAGCTCTTCAGCGCTTCCTCGTTTAGTTTTTCTCAGAAATTAAGCTCCCCAACGCTAGTGACTGAATCCAGGAATCGGACCTGCTTCTACCTCCACTTTCTTCTTTTTACATTCCCTGGGCTCCCAATAACAAAAGGTGATGGGGGAGGGGGATGCCTGGGTGGCTCGGTCCATTAAGCATTCAACTCTTGGTTTCTGCTCAGGTCATGATCTCAGGGTGGTGAGATCAAGCCTGGAGTGGGCTCCACGCTTGTCCCTCTCCCTCTGCTCCTCTCTCTGCTCACTTCACTCTCTCTCTCTCTCTCTCTAAAATAAATTAATAAAATCTTTTCTTAAAAGAAGGTGATGGGAACATTGTCAGGAATGAAAAGAAAATGGAAACTCAGAGGGGAAACTCCATGTTTGTCACAGTGCCCACCATTAACATGAGCTGAACGACGGAGTGTTTGATGATTCAGACAAGATGGCCCCTTGGCTTAAAATAGTCACAGCCTAAACTGGGAGTTTAGGAAAACTAAAAAAGCTTGTGAGGAAAAATGTCAATATCCATAGCAGTTCAGGAGGTTAAGCTCTCCTAGTTAAGAAACAATGAATTCAGATCAAAGCACCATCAGATTACTCTGTGACCACTTACAGAGCCTCTTCCTCCTTTTTCCTTAGAATGCCTAAGGATTTTTCCAGAAGAGATGGGCAATATAAAACTTGAGGGTGGTAGAACAAGAAAGGAGGGGTAACAGTGGGATCACTTGCCAAGCACTGGATATACATAACTGCTATTTTCCAAAGACTCTTCGAATTTGGTCCCAAAAGCGAACTGAAGACAAATGCTTACTTAAAATTGTGTTTATCACCCTGTGCCACATCCTTAGTCTTACCCAATATGCTATTTAGAAAATGTGAAATACGGGATGCCTGGGTGGCTAAGTCAGTTAAGCATCTGCCTTCAGCATAGGTCATGATCCCCAGGTCTTAGGATTGAGTCCTGCATGGGGCTCCTTGCTCAGCGGGAGCCTGCTTCTCCCTCTGCCTGCCACTCTCCCTGCTTGTGCTCTCTCTCTCTCTCACAAATAAAATTTTAAAAAAAGAAAAAAAAATGTGAAATAATAGGACCCCATCCAACAATCTGGTAACCCTAGTGCTTAGCTGGGGAAGCTAAGAATGAATGTTGGTTGACTTTTTTTTTTTAATTTTATTTTATTATGTTAATCACCGTACAATACATCATTAGTTTTTGATGTCGTGATCCACAATTCATTGTTTTCGTTGACATTTTGTTTTTTAAAGATTTTATTTATTTGATAGAGACACAGCGAGAGAGGGAACACAAGCAGGGGGAGTGGAAGAGGGAGAAGCAGGCTTCCCGCCTAGCAGGGAGCCAGATGTGGGGCTCGATCCCAGGACCCTGGGATCACGACCTGAGCCAAAGGCAGACGCTTAACAACTGAGCCACCCAGGCGCCCCAATCCTGGTTCCTTCTTATGTGTGGGGGAAAAAATCCACAAACCAAAAACTACCAAATAGTGCCTGCTATTAAAATGTCAGCAGGGGCGCCTGGGTGGCGCAGTCGTTCAGGTCTGCCTTCGGCTCAGGTCATGATCCCAGGGTCCTGGGATCGAGTCCCACATCAGCGGGGGGTCTGCTTGTCCCTCTCCCACTCCGCCTGCTTGTGTTCCCTCTCTCGCTGTGTCTCTCCCTCTCAAATAAATAAATAAAATCTTAAAAAAAAGAACCAGGATTATGCCTTCTAACTTCATAGCAATAAGAAAGAGGTAAGTTTTGACATTTCTTGGTGGCTTAGAGTTACTCCTCACTATGCACATGAACCAGTCCAGCCCTCCCGAGTGCAGCCTTCGGCCGCATGCGGGCTGCAGATGAGCGCACTCCCGGGCTTCTGGGCGCTAGGACTCCGTGCATGTGCTGTCGAGCCCTGGGCTTGCCCAGATGATAACCCCAAGCGTTCTCTCCCGCTTTTCTCTCTGCCCTCCCGCGCAGCTGTGAAGTTCGGCAGGATGTCCAAGAAGCAGAGGGACAGCCTGTATGCTGAGGTGCAGAAGCACCAGCAGCGGCTGCAGGAACAGCGGCAGCTGCAGAGCGGGGAGGCCGAGGCCCTGGCCAGGGTTTATGGCGGCAGCATCAGCAACGGCCTCAGCAGCCTCAACGGCGAGGCCGGCGGCGCCTACGCCAACGGACACGTCATCGACCTGCCCAAGTCCGAGGGGTATTACAGCGTGGATTCGGGCCAGCCGTCCCCTGATCAGTCAGGACTTGACATGACTGGGATCAAACAGATAAAGCAAGAGCCCATCTATGACCTCACGTCCGTCCCCAACTTGTTTACCTATAGCTCTTTCAACGGCGGGCAGCTGGCGCCAGGGATAACGATGCCCGAAATCGGTAAGTGGGAGTCGCCTCCCAGCTCCCTTTTGGCAGTTCTGCTTTGAAGTCGCCTTGGTCCTGTGGAGCAGGGTCGTGGTCGTAGGTCTAGGTTCGATGGCTTGTGTGCGTGGCTTCTAGTAAAAAACACTGTTTGATCTAAAAATTTTTTGTGATAAACGTCCTTGGTCCCCTGCCCCGTAAAAGTTGATGTCAAGCGAAGGAGGAAGGAAGACATGATCAACAGGAAGATGCTATCTGTAAAGAACAGATGCTCTCTGTTGAATTTGGGTTCGTCACTGAAGGAAAACTGTTATTGGTATAAACAGGAGAATTTCAGCAAGTGTTCAGAGTGATTATTCAAAATAAAATAGCTAAGGGATGTAGAAGCAGTATGTAATACCTGAATGAACAGGGCTCCAGCTCTTCCTCTAAGATAACTTGGGACTAGCCAGAAGCAAATAGTACCTCGGTTTCCTTCTTTTTAAAGGCAGAGGGGTAGACCAGAAGACCGCTATGTCTCTTGTAAATCTGAATTCAAGAATTCTACCTGGGAATAGAGTCTAAATTCCTGGCAGTGAAAAGAGGGTAGTCTGGAATGTTACAGAACATATGAGCAACCAATAAGTTACACTGAATATTGCCAGCTTTATTTTACCCTGTTAAGCTCAGGAGTCTATTAAATGTTTAACCAGTTGATCTCATTAACTAACTGCCATAAAAATATTGATGTAGGTTTAATACATGAGCCTCCTGGGTCATGAAGTTGCCTGTTAACAGTAGCCTAGAAGAGCTACACGAACAGTGGCTCTACCAGGCTTCATTGTGTTATTTGGTATGGGGGGGGGGGTGGGAGGGAAGCGAGCTAGGCCTCAGGAACCTTGGAGAAGCCTCCTCCTCATATCCTGCCCTGAGAGGTGGCAGAACCAGGCCACCTGAGTTCAGATGCTGACTCTGGCTTATTATTTAAGCTGGAGCCCAAGTTTCTGGATCCCAGTTTGCTCATCTTTCAAAAAGGAAAAGTATTAGTTCCTAGATCACACGGTCGTAGTAAGAATTAAATGAGTTCATACTTGCAAAACAGAGCAATGTTTGACACTCAGCAAGTGTTCAATGGTTATTATTTGCATGCCAGTCACCTTCTCTGTCTAAACTATGAGTAGGAGCCCAAAGCCTACGAGCGTTTTAAATAAAGTTGATGTGAACACATAATGAAGTACATGCCATATGTATCTTGGCTACTTCTACCATCTGGTTGAGGAAGATGTGATGTTACACAGTTACAAAACCTGAAACATTATGTCTCTTTTTTAGCAATTTAGCATGTGACAGTGAGTAAAGCAGTTGTTGACAAAGCACCCGCAATGACATTCACAGCTGAGAGATACAGAAAACTAAGCATCAGCAATCGTGACAAATACTCATTTTTATTGCTACCCTTAACCTTGGTTTTTTAACTATGTCATAAGCACTTCACATGCATTTAATTTTCACAAACGTCTTAAAAGTAAAAATATTCCCATTTTACAGATGTGGAAACAGAGGCTTAGGGGTGTCTCATGGCCTTTCCTGGGTCCTTCGGTTCCATCCAGGCAGTCTGATTCCAGTCCTTTTGCTTATCCATTACCCTGCTACCTGCTCTGGGTTTAATATCCACAAACTGCACTGTCAACCAACTGGATCAGTCTTTTAAAGTGGAGTCGCTCCAGGTGCCTGGGGGACTCAGTCAGTTAAGCGTCTAAGTCTTGATTTCGGCTCAGGTCATGATCTCGGGGTTGTGAGATTGAGCCCCACGTCGGGCTCCACACTGGGCATGGAGCCTGCTTAAGGTTCTCTCTCTCCCTTTCCCTCTGCCCCTCCCCCTGTCTCCCTCTCTTAAAAAAATAAATAAATAAAGTGGAGTCACTCAGTCTTTCCAAGGAGACATATTAAAAAGAAAAAGAAATAGGCACCATTTTTTGCTTTTATCCTCCTTCATATCTAAATATCTGAGTCTGGTCTTGATTTTGAATATACGTATAAAACATAATGAGGCAGAAATTCATAATCATTGGGCAGTCTTCTGCCCCATACCCCAAAGGAAAGGCTTCTAAGAATTCAGGAACCACAATTTCTTTGTGATTTAGAATCAGTTGGAAGTATTAGGGAGAGAGAACTACAGCCAAAGCCATCAAGTCTGGGTGCGCATCTCCCAGTAGCTTTTCCTCTCTGGCCCTCAGTCTATTTATTTATGAACTGATGCATTTGGACTAGATGATTTCAAAACTCGTCCAGAGTTTCTACAGACATCAACACCCAGAAAAAACTAGCATATATTTTTCCTATTTCTCCATACCATTAGTATTTAGGGATCTCTAGCTACGCTGTGAAGTTTTGGGGGTTTCTTCCATCAGACTTTGAGGGATGCAACTGGCTTGCCCTGCTGCTATTCCCAAGTTTAGCAGGCTCCCAAACCTAGGTAGTGACTTGGTTCACATTTCGTTTGAACAACAGTGCCATCTAGTGGACACAAACTGCTGTGGGTGTCAAAGGCAGATAACCTATGACAAGCCACAGAATTGCGGTACACTCTTCTTTCTTGCACCATCCAAAAAACTGTCGCTCATTGTACTAAAACACCACGTCCGCAGCAGTACCGTTGAGCAGAAAAGCATCAGTGGTATGGGATGGTGGTGAAGAACTCTGGTTCTAAAGCAGAATTGTCTGAGTTCAAAACCTTCCTTTCCCGACAGCAATTTCCCTAATCTCTTTGGGTCTGTTGTAAACCTGGAACAACAATAGTCCCACAAGAGGGTGTTGATGAAGTGAGTTAATGTTCATAAGTTCTTAGGAGGGCACCTAGCGAGCGTAGGCTGTACTATTATTATTAATGTAATTGGTATTACAATGTGATTCATATCATTATAATTAATAACATTAGTGGTTATTATAAGTAATATAATTACCTTTTCTTGAGCACCTGCACTGTGCTGAGCAAGGTCCTCCATTTAATTCTCATCACAGTTGTATTGTGCCTATCACGGAGGTAGCCGTATGTCCATTTTACAGATGAAAAAAGAAAAGGCTCCAAAGTTACAAAACCTGTAAAAAAGCAAAATAAGCATGTGAGCTCAGGTCTGAGTAACATCAGAAGCCATTCTTTGGACCATTATGCTCTATGTCCTCCCACCAAACAAAGGGAAACCCCTCACAAGTTAATTGGCATTCATGCAGCAAAACATGCTCAGGGTTTGCTGCCTGTCTGCCATCCTTCTAGGTGGTACAAAGAGCGCCCAGAGTGAGAATGCTGACATTTTGACCTGCCTTGATTAATGAGCATCTATACTAATCTGGCTGGTGGCAAGCTGTCACAGAAAGAACTCTGTGCAGACAAAATAGAAAATCTGATTTTAGCCACATTCTCACTGGGTGAATTGAAGGCGAAAGGACACTAAAGAATTTTTGAACATCATTCTTGGCTATTAGAAGCCCTGGTCTGCTTCCCCTGGTTTCTGAAGGAATAATGAGCTGTGTACAAGCAGGACATTATTCTGATATTGAGTTTATCATAAAAGCAGCTGTTTTTTAAAACCAGTTTTGGGGGCGCCTGGGTGGCTCAGTTGGTTAAGCAACTGCCTTCGGCTCAGGTCATGATCCCAGGGTCCTGGGATCGAGCCCCGCATCGGGCTCCTTGCTCAGCAGGGGGTCTGCTTCTCCCTCTGACCCTCCTCCCTCTCATGTGCTCTCTCTCTCTCATTCTCTCTCTCAAATAAATAAAATCTTTATAAAAAAAAAAAAACCAGTTTTGGGAATAGTTCATGTAGAATATGGTCTTGCAGCTTGGAATTAATTTAATCAAACCACATGTGTAAGAACTATGAAACAACTGTATAAGCAATAGTAGACTCGTCCCAAAAAGTGAGTTAAAGGAATGTCATGAGAGTCAGGAATATTCTCCAGAAAATCCAAGCTTATCTTTCTAAAAATATACCAAAGAAGCTACAAACTTCTTAGGTTTGTATGGAGAGAAATCTAGAAAATGCATGTTAACCTTTTTGAGCCTCAGAGGTGGATAGTGAAGAAATCATCCCATTTTGCAGATGAAGAAATTAAGGGATTTCTCTAGAACACAGAGTTAGGTGACAAAGCTTAAATTCTGATGTAGATAACTCTACTACCCTAGACTACCAGGCATTCTTTGGAAAACATATTTTTGAAATGTGCCAGGCCTTCAAGACCAGCAGATCATGGCTCCTGCCCTCACCAGCTAAGAGCCAGACATGAGAACAAACTATTACAATTCAGTGTGTCATATATTGTAAGTCTTGGACATGATGGTACCACAGACCCTCCTGGAGGTGAGGGAGATGGGAGGTATTGCTTACTCTGAGCCATATCTCTTAACAGGAATGGTTTATTCTCATGGCTTGGAAATAGAAAACAAAATGCGGGTAAACAAACAGAAAAATATGAAACATTTCAAGAATTATATCCTTGGGTTTCTCAAAAATCCCGTAGGAGGAAAAGTCATGAAATAAGACAAGGACGAAAGTAAGCTGCAAATTAATATTTAGGCAGGAGTATTAACTGGGCTTAGCTGGAACTTTATTTCAAGCTGGCGTGAGGATGCGTTGTATCTTCGGGGATAAAATTTTGCAGTTGTGGGTGGCAGGGAGAGGACACGGGCTAACAGATCCCCAGCGAGTGAGCGAGCAAAGAAGGAAGGGGAGGCTCCTATATGTGCTCCCCACTGTAACTCTTAGATGGGTTGGGGGATTCTATAGGACCAGTACTTTTAACAAAAGCTCATTTAAGCTCAAAGACGATTGGCAGCATATCTGCGAGGTACTAGACAACAAGAGAGTTCAAATAGCCAAACAATATGCTTTTAAAAACACGGGGTGGGGGGGGAATCCATCAAATTAGCTGTGAGGCTAAGTGGATAAATTACCTTTTACACACATCTCCTGAATTTGCTGTTGCTTTTAGTAATTTTCTCTCCAGATAAAGACAAAGAAATGTGAATTCCTTGGTCTCTCCTA